CGTCTAAACAAAATATATGAAACAATGTTTTTCTGGCATTGGACATAAGGCAGCACAGGGCATTGATCCCTGAGAGAGGGGAAACAAACAGGATGAGCCCTGCAATTTCCCAGCTTTACTGCCGGGAGAGAGTTTCCAGGCTACAAGACAGGAAGAGGGTAGTTCAGGTAGAGCTTAGCTGTCTCCCTGAGTTGAGATGGGAGTTGAGAGTCTAGGAAGGTCAAGGTGACTAGAATTTGCTGTACAGAGCACTGGGAAGAAGAGAGCTGTACAGAATGTACTCAAATCATCTGTAGTACTTCTCAAGGCACTTGAGATGATTAGAAGGAACAGTCTTCACACAGAGGGAGGAATAGTTTGTGTTCTTACCAGCCATAGTGGAAAAACCTTGTAAATCATGGATGTTGAGTAGAGTACTCAGGAGGATTTTACTCAGTAGTGAGGAAAAATTATCCCTGGACTAAAGGCTACTCTGATTCCACCTAACAAAGCTTTAAAAATAAACCTCAAAAAATATCACATTGTATCCAAGTAACATACTTGTCCCATAACAAAGGTCAAAAATGTTGATAGGAATACAAAAATATCTAGCACCAAATAAGATAAAATTCACAATGACTGACAGTCAATCAAACATTACCATGCATTAAAAGAAACAGGAAAGTATAGCCTGTCAATGAGGAGAAAAACCATTCTATAGAAGGAAACACAGAAATGGCAGAGATGATAGAATTAGTAGACGAGGATAGTTAGTATAATTATATTCCATATTTTGAAAAAGGTACAGAGAAACTGAACATATTAAGCAGAGACATGGAAGATGTCAAGGAGCCAAATATCTTGCGATGAGAACTACAATGGGTAAAATGAAAATCACACTAGATGGGATTAATAGAAGGTTAGACATTGCAGAAGAGAAATTGTTGAACTTAAAAATATAGCAGTAGAAATCATTCAAAACTGAAGCAAAGTACAGTGTATTGTGGAGTTTGTAACATGTAGAAGTCTGAGTAAAACGAACAGAGCATCAGTGAGCTGTGGAACAACTTCAGGCAACCTAATATACTTGTAATGGTGTAACTGGAGTCCCTGAATAACAGAAGAGAAAACAGGACAAGTGTTTGAAGAAATAATGTCTGAAAAACTGTAAATGCCCAGATTCAAGATGCTCAACAAACCCCAAACACCGGAAATATGAAGAAAATTACACTAAGGCACATCATAATCACGTATCTTTAAAACAATTACAAAGAGATTATCTTACAAGAAGGCAGAGTAAAACAACACTATGTCCAAAGGACAAAGATAAGAATGGCAATGCATGCTCATCAAGCTAGAAAACAGTGGTACAATGTCTTTACAGTACTAAAAGAAAAACCTCAGACCGTCAGCCTCGAATGCCATGCCCATCAAAAATATTGTTCAAAAACTAAGGATAAGTAGATGCTGAGGGGAGACAGGAATGAGGACTGAGTGCTTAATGAGTACTGGGTTTTCCTTTGGGTCAATGAAAACGTTTTTGAATTAGATAGAGTTGGTGGTTGCAGGACATTAGGAATGTACTAAAGGCAACTGAGTTATATACTTTTATGTTATATGAATTTCGCCTCAATAAAAACTACTGCAAATAATTTTTTTAAAAAAGGAAAAATAAAACATTAACCCATAGACCCAAGAAGCTAAACAAACCCCGATTACTGTAAATACAAATAAATCCACATACTAGAACATCAGAGTCAAACTGCTCAAAACCAAAATAAGAAGAAAATCTTAAAAGTGGCCATAGGGGGAAAAGACACATTTTATGCAAGAGAACAATAATAAAGTGACATCAGCTTCTCATCAGAAACAGTACAGTTAAGAAGACAGTGGAATTACATCTGCGGTTCTTGGGTGGGGGAGGGGGGACTATCATCGTAGAATTCTATACTTAGTGAAAATATCCTTCAAATGTGAAGATAAAGACATTTTCAAGGAAACAAAAATAGGGTAACTTTTCAGTTAACAGCCGAATGCTTGACAGAGCTCTTGTTATTTGTTGTTGTGTGCCGTCGAGTTGATTCCGACTCATAGCGCCCCTGTGTGACAGAGTAGAACTGCCCCGTAGGGTTTCCTAGGCTGCAGTCTTTACGGGAGCAGATTGCCAGGTCTTTTCTCCCACAGAGTGGCTGGTGGGTTCAAACCGCCGACCTTTCAGTTAGCAGCTGAGCGTTTAACCATTGTGCCACCAAGTTTACTTGTTGTTGTTATTAGTTGCTATCAAGTCAACTTCGACTGATGGCAACGTTATGTATAACAGAATGAAACATCGCCTGGTTCTGCACCACCTTCATGGTTGTTGCTGTGTTTGAGTCCATTGTTGGAGCTGTTGTGTCAATCCGCCTCATTGAGGGTTTCCCTCATTTTCACTGACTCTGTATCAAACATGACGCCCTTTTCTAGCGATTGGTCTTTCCTGATGACATGTCCAAAGTAAGTGAGCCAATCTCTCACCATGCTTGTGTGTAAGGAGCGTTCTGGCTGTAGTTCTTCTAAGACTGGTTTGTTTGTACTTTTGGCAGTCCGCTGTATTTTCAGTATTCGACCAACACCACAATTCGAATGCATCAATTCTTCTGCCTTCCTTTGTCATTGTCCAGCTTTTGCATCCATATGAGGTAGTGGAAAAGACCATGGCTTGGGTGAGGTGCACCTTAGTCATAAAAGTGACATCTTTGCCTTTTAGAACTTGAAAGAGGTCTTTTGCAGCAGATCTGCCAAAGGCAATACATTGTTTGGTTTTTTTGACTGCTGCTTCCACCGACATTGATTTTTGATCCAAGGAGAATGAAATAATTGACAACTTCAGTTTCTTCTTCATTTATCATGATGTTGTTTATTGACCAGTTGTGAGGATTTTCATTTTCTTCCCATTCAGATGTTTGACTTCATCAGTAAGTTCTTCAACTCATCTTCATTTTTTGGCAAGTGCGGTTGTATCATCTACATATCTCAGGTTGTTAATATGTCTTCCTCCAGTCGTAAAGCCATGTTCTCCGTATAGTCCAGCTTCTCAGATTAGTTGTTCAGTAAAACAGATTGAATAAGTAAGGTGAAAAGATACAACCCTTCCACATACGTTTTCCAATTTTGAACCACAAAGAATGTAGAAGGAAAATAGTGCAAATAGAAATAGAAAATAGACATAGAGAAAATCAGCAAAGCCAACAGTTTGTTTTTTTAAAAGTTTAATAAAATTGATAACCCCTGACAAAACAGATGAGGGGAAAAAAACCCATAATTTTAAAAAATTTTATTAATTTTGTTGTTGAGAGTATATACAGCAAAACATATGCCAGTTCAACAGTTTCTACATGTACGGTTTAGTGGCATTGATTACATTCTTTAAGTACAACCATTCTCACTCTCTTTTCTGAGTTGTTCCTCCCCTATTAATATAAGCTCACTGCCCCCTAAGGTTCCTATCTAATCTTTCAAGTTGCTGCTGTCAATTCGATCCTGTATAGATAGTTCTTAAAAGAGCATAATGCTCAAGGCACATTTATTTTACTAGCTAAGGTAAACTACTGTTTGGTTTTAAGAAGACTTCGGGGGATGTTTTTGGTTTAAGGTTTAAAGATTACCTCAGGGCAATAGTTTCAGGGGTTCATCCACCTTCCATGGCTCCAGAAACTCTAGAGTCCATGAGAATTTGAAATTCTGTTCTACATTTTCCCCCTTTTGATCAGGATTCTTCTATGGAATTTTTGATCAAAGTGTTCAGTAATGGTAGCCAGGCACCATCCAGTTCTTCTGGTCTCATGGCAAAGGACACAGTTGTTCATGGAGGCAGTTATCCACACATTCCATATCCTCTTCCTATTTCTGACTCTCCTTCCTGTGTTGCTCCAGGTGAATAGAGACCAATTGTTGTGCCTTGGATGGCCACTTGCAAGCTTTTAAGACCCCAGGCATTATGCAACAAACTATGTTGAACAGAAGCACTTAACACATTATTAGGCCAGTTAACTGGGGTATCTCATGAAACTGTGACCCTAAACCTCTAACTCCCTCAAACCATCTTGTTACCACTTTTAAGATTAAAACTTCACATAGATGAAAATTACTGTTAAACTATCATCAAAATGTGTTTTTCCCTCCTAAAAATCCACTTTTATAATCTTGCAACTCCTCTACAACATTTCTATCTTATTTTTAAAAAGCCAAAGACTGTATACTGGGTTTCAAAAGTGGTCAAACAACTGATGAGGACACTAAATATTACTAAAAATTATAATTTCTTCATACATTGCACATTCTACTTGTAACTTCCTATTCGTATTTCATTTTAAACCTCAGAGCTTTATCAAAGTTATGCCCACACTATGTCCCTGGCTTATTTCGTCCTAATTTGTACTGGTCAATCCTCATCTTTTTTGGAATAACAGAATTTTCTTCCTGAATGCTTACTTTTTTGTATGTGAATATAATGAGTTTCATTTTATTGAATTTCATTTTTACATTTTTCCAAAGTTAGTCTAATTTCAAAGTCTCTCCATTTTAAAATAGTTTTAAAGTTATACAGTGCATGAAATTTCAAACTCATATTTGTTGTGCCAAAAACTATGCTAAGAGCATATTATCTGTTACCTCATTTTAATCTATAGCCAATTTGTATGATAGGCTTTGTTACTCTCTTATAAATGAAGATCCTAAGGCTCTGAGGAAAACCCAATTTGCCCTGTATCACCTAGAAGAAAATATTACAAAGTGTAACATACATGATTTAGGTTACAAGGAGAAACGTTTACTAATGGTGAAAATTCTTAAACATAGCAGTTGGTCATCTCGGAAAATTTAGCAACTTCATTTCTCTCTCTGGAAGTTTTATGCTTTTTGATTGTTTAAGAATGGTCCTGGCCAAAGGCAGAGGAGGTACACCACATGAGCTCTCAATGTTTCTTCTATAATTAATATTTTTATGATCTCAATTGTGTTCTTATGTATTTTCTTTTCTCAAGGTGGATAACATAAACACAGCCATGATGGATTTGAAAAAAAAGAAAATCCGTACTACAACTGAAGAGGCCAAAATAGGAGCACATGGAAAACCAGTGATTTTTCTCCATCCCAAAGACTGTGATGGAGTTCTTGTGGAACTGGAGCAAGCTTGATTTATGTTTGTAAGAAACTAAATTAATTGATATAAAAAATTCTTATCAAAATTCAAAGTGACAACAGCAACTCGAAAGATTAGATAGGAACCTTAGGGAGCAGAGAGTTTATGTTAATGAGAGAGGAGCAACTCAGAAAATCATAGTAAAAATGATTGCACAACTTGAAGAATGTAATCAGTGCCACTGAATCATACATGTAGGAACAGTTGAATTAGGTATATTTTGCTGTGTATGTTCTCAACCACAACAACAAAATAAAATTAAAAAAACTACCATCAAAATATACTATGGAACCCTTGACTGCTTCTATCACTGTGATAGTTAAGATTGTGCGTCAACTTGGCTGGGCCATGATTCTGAGTGTTTTGGCAGTCATATAATGTAGTGATCACTTCCCTGTTGAGATTTGATACGTGATCACGCCCATGATGGGATCTGCTGAGTGGTACAGGCAGGGGTGGGGCCTGTGGCGGCTCACCGCCCCCCTTGGCCTTCAACTCTCTGCCCTCCGCCACCTAGTCCTTTCTGCTCTTTTTCCTGGGGCTTTTGTTTATTCTGGATCCTGCAGCTGGCTCCTGTTCATCTGACCTCCAGTTCTTGAGTTTTGGGCTAGCAGCTTACCTGTGGTCTTGTCTGCCGATCTTGAGATTCGTCGATCTTCACAGCCTGCAACAGCTCTGCTCTCCAGCCTGCTGATCTTGGGTTCACCAGCCCCTGCAGCTACGTAAGTCAGCAGAAGGCTGCAACAACCCTGCTTTCTGGGCTGTCAATCTTGGGTTCGCCAGCCCCTGCGGCTATGTGAATCCAGAGAAGCCTCTTTCCTGCC